GAGGCCACAAGCACCTGCTCTCACGCTTCCGCTTCCCTGGCCCTCCCTCCCTGGGCCTGTCTGTCCTGCTTCGGGGGGAGGGGGGACCCCTGTCCCAATTACCCTCTATTCCCGCCTTGAGCTCAACGGGGGGAAGGGGACAGCACAGAGGCGGCACATGCCTCCTTATAGCAGCTGTGTGACCCTGGGCAAGTCTCTCGACCTCTCTGAGCACCTGCTCTCACGCTTCCGCTTCCCTGGCCCTCCCTCCCTGGGCCTGTCTGTCCTGCTTCGGGGGGAGGGGGGACCCCTGTCCCAATTACCCTCTATTCCCGCCTTGAGCTCAACGGGGGGAAGGGGACAGCACAGAGGCGGCACATGCCTCCTTATAGCAGCTGTGTGACCCTGGGCAAGTCTCTCGACCTCTCTGAGCCTTGGCCGCCTCCACGACACCCTAGCACTATGGCAGCCGCCTGGCAGATTCCGGGAAGCGGCCCCTGGGCTCCTTCCTCGGTGCTCACAGGAAAGGAGGGCGACCAGGGATGCCGCTCCCCTCGCTGGGCAGTTAGGCCCTTCCTGGGTCACAGAATGAATGCGGGAATGTGGGCTGTGGGCGTTATCTTGAGCCCCAGCAGATGTCCTCGGGAGGGCGGGGCGGAGACCAGAGGCAGCGCCGGGGGCAGCTCTCGGGATGGAATCTGGGTGAGGCTGGTGGACAGGGCTGGGGCTGGCGGGCAGCGGTTGCTGGCTGGGGCCTCCCACCCTGGCACAGCCCTCCCTGCCCCTCACAGACCGGGGCCTGGGCCTGCTGGCACAGCCACTCACCTGACGCCTTCGTTGAGGGTGAACAGCTCCTGGTCGGGCAGCCCCTTGCGCTGGAAGACGGCGATCACCCCGCTGTGGATGCTGCGGTGGGGAGAGGAGCGCTGTGTCCAGACCCGGGACCCTCCCAGCCCCCCCGGGACCTCCTTCCGCCCCGTTTCCATGGCAGCCTTCCTGCTGGGCTCGGGGAACAGACGGTCCCAGCCAGAAGCAGGGATGGACCGTCCTGGTGGGACCCTGTCCACACCCCAACCTCAATCCCAAGATCCTGTGTCCCAGCCTCCCCTGTGCGCTGGGCCCCGCCCGTCCCCCCTCC